GATGATTCAGAAGATGATGTTACCAGTTCTGTCAGCAGTGCAATGTCGGCTATTGCTGCAGCTGCCGCAGCCTCGTGTATTCCAGGGGAGCATAATAATGCGGGAAGTCGAGAAGAACGTAGAGATATTATTGGGGGTTTGTTAGGGGGTCTAGGCTTTGGTTCTCTTGGTGTCTCACCAGGTGGCCCCACATCTACATCTGGGGTGGATAAGATGTTCAGATCAGGTGAAAATGATGGATGCATGGGAAATGGTATGATGAGTTTAACACAGCCCAGTGAACAACACCCCCAACAGGCCCCAAACATCAAACCCAAGAGGCCTCGTAAGCCACGGCCAAAGAAAGAGCCCAGATCCGACGGTGAGGGCACTAAACGAAAACGTAACACCCAAAGTGGAGGTGGTGCTGGGAAAGATGGGACTGAACGACCATATCTGTGTAGTGTCTGTGGACGTGGCTTCAGCCGTCGTGAAACTCTTCGCCGGCATGACCGTATTCATACAGGGGAGAAGCCTCACCGCTGCCCTATTTGTGGCAAAAACTTCCGCGAGGCATTTCACCTCAGCAAACACCGCACAGTTCATTCAGGCGAGAAAAACTATAAATGTGGCTTATGTGGAAAAGATTTTGGTTATGCACAGAGCCTGAAGAGACATGGAAAACTCCATGAGAAAGGGCATTTTGGAGATGAGGCAACAGCAGCAGGAGCATGCAACAGTAACAACAGTTCTGCTCCAACCCCAGGGGCTAGCATGAGCCAAGCAAGTGATCAAGGAAATTCCTACTTTTATTCTCAGGATAAGACTCAAGGGTCCAGCAGCCAGCCACCACCCAGACTCTACACTTGCGCGGTTTGCTGGAAGGCTTTCCGACATCACTTTCACTTAACGGCTCATCATCAAGCTGTTCATGGAAGTGGGGAGAAGCTTTTTTGCTGTGAAGTGTGTGGAAAGGCTTTTGCATATGCTAACAGTTTAACAAGGCACAGACTGTCTCAACATGGTTTGCCTCGAACTAGGCAGGCTAACACACCTGGAGTTAGAGATGAATCCGGAGTACATGCAAGTAATAATTCAATACCTGAGAGTGAAGTGGCCACAAATACCCTGCTTCAGCTTGTGCCTCCTAGTGGAGCTCATAGTGGTCCTCAGACCCATTCTGCTGTCCCACAAACACAACAGCCACCCCCTCCTCAGTCTTCATCTTGCCTTTCTCCTCTGTTCTACCTTCCAGAAACAAGTCCTTTAAATACTCATGCTTCCTCACTTTCCCACATCCCCCCCAATCATTCCACTATAAACCATAACCACCAACAGGCTACAACTATTAAAGGGGAGCCCCTTCACCAAACTGCTTCAGCCAGCCTTCTCACTCCTTCGTCCCTTTTTCTGCCGCCCTCCCAGCTGCAGCAGCACCGTCATGCAGTTGATATGAAGACTTCTAATATGAATCTCCAAAACCATCAAACACAGTCTCATGTAAGAAAACAAAAGATAAAAAAAGGAAAAGATTCAAGCTTATCCAGAGAGGCAAAGGGAGAGAAGGATAATGCAATGTGCATGTCTGCCCAAAGGAAAAATCATAACAGAGCTAAACGAAAGAAGAGAAGATTCCACCAACCGCTGCTGAGGAAGAACCTGGCACAGTTTCTTCAGTTGAGGGGAATGCAGAGTTCGTGGCATGGAGGTACACTAAGCTTTGGATGTCTGTCATCTTTAGGAGTTCCCCAGAAACGCTTTCCATGCCCCTATTGTCCAAGCACCACATTTCCCCGACAGGCTGCACTGTTGGTACATTGTGCTATAAGACACCCTCCAAGATCCAGTTCCCGCCAAGCACGTTTGGTGTGCCTTGTCTGTGGGAAGCGCCATCGACGCTTATTTGCAGCACTTGGTCATCGAACATTCCATCTTGTCCAAGGGTCTTACTCTTGTTCACGATGCCCGTCGCATTTTTGGAATGGAATTCTCCTAAGGAGGCATAAGATTGCTTGCCGTGGTGCTGGGAGAGGTGGTTTGAAACTAATATCTTTGTTAAAATCAGTAGGAAGAAAGAGAGAAGAAAGGCAAAATAACAGAAGCATAGCGTTAACTGACCCTAGACTGTAAAATACACTCATAATTGAGAAGTTCAGATTTAATTGGGAAAAGGCTGTTGAGAATACATTTTGATGATTCAGGTCCATGTATTCTTACTGAATATTGTTGAGATACAAATGATTTTTATGTTAAAATGTACCTTTACATGGATTAAGAAAACACAAAAAGACTTCAGCCGAAGCATACCTGTAGACAAGGACTTCCAGAGACTTGTTTTATATATGACTGTTCTCACAACTTCAGGCCCACGGTTTTGTCCCTAATTGGTTGACAACGTATGGAAATAATAGATGTATAGCAATATCAGTGAATTTATCCTAATAGTATTGTCTGTTCTAGTTGATTTCTGTCATTATCAAATATTAATTTTATGGTCTTGTCTCTGCTGTGTGCTATGTGCAGTTTTTATACGAGTTGTTTGTTTTTTTAAAAGCGTACAACATGAAACATTTGGTTTGGAACTGTTGAACTTTTTGTTAAAACTTCATCAATATCTGTTAGATATACTCACAATGTTACCCGCTTTGTCACTTGGATTGTGATTTTACTTACTGTATTTTGGGAGGACACTTTGTAACTATAAGCATCAGAGTCAAATTACATAACACTGGCAATAAAAATAAGGGTGGTTTTAAAAAGAGGAAATAGAAAATGCATTTAACCCAACTGACTTGTGTATGGTCCTTTCCAAAAATGCATATTCAATTTTAACTAGCAAAACTGAATAACTGTAATTACATTTTTTGGACTGTCATACCAGATTGAAATGAGAAGACAGGTGGGGAAAATACAGCTTGTAGTATAAAATGTATATTAGTGTTTTAAATGTTTTAGGCTAAGCATAATTTAGATTTATTGTTTGCTTGACAAAGAGAAGGGAGGGATGTGGCAGGGGTAGGTATTTTTTATTTTTCTTAATCAAATGTAACAATGTGATTGTTCACTCTTTCCACATCCCAGTCCTCGATGTAGTTCCTGAAGTATACACATGGCCTAAAACCATGTTCATACTTGCTATTCTAGGTTTTCTTTAAATAAAACCTCAATCTATTTCAATGCTTTTAAATAACTGTTTGATATTTCAAGAAAAAAAGAAGCTTCAAAGTACTTAATGATACATTTGTATGGAAAAAAATAAAAACTGCAGTGTAAGTGGAAGCTTAGCGATGCTTTACTTGGCTGCATCAGAACTAATGAAATGTGCAGTGCCAGGTGTTCTGCAGGGGTTTCCTCCTTGCTCACATGCTGTAGCATACCGTGGGCACCACGCCAGACTCATGTACAATGAGCTCCAGTGCCTGGAGAGATGCAGTATCTGTGTCTCCAGGGTTTCTTTGTTACCAGTGTCACCTTTTATATATGGCTAAAGTTATATATTTTTTATTGAATTTCTTTTGTCAAAAACATTCTTTCATACACGTTTTTTCCAATAAAAAGCAATTACTAGTAATAGTTGTATATTCATAGCAGTTTTGCTCTTGTTTCAGTGAAATCCTAGAAATGACAGCAGATTTCAAGTGCAAATGCATCAGGTCTCCACTAGGTGGGAGTAGGATACCAAAGTTGGGCGAATTGTCACATGTCACATATGTACTTGTAATATGCATTTTTCTTTGGTAGAAATTTGATAGTGCCTCTAGTCATTTTCCAATTGTATGTAACTTGCCTATATTAATACTTTCATAATTATCTATAAACTACATCAAAGCAAAAACTATATGAGCACCATTTATGTGATAGTGTTGCTGCACTCATGCAAAATACAAATGAGGTAGAGCAGGAATGTCAAACTTCAGTCCTGGAGGGCCAAAGCCCTGCACATTTTTGGGTTTCCTCTCATGTAAAACACACCTGATTCAACTCCTTGTGCTAATTACCACATAGCTCTTGGTCCAAGTCATTTGTGGTACAACAGGGAAAGAACTAAGCTACACAGGGCTCTCGCCCTCCAGGACTGGAGTTTGACACCCCTGAGGTAGAGTGCATAGTGCTGGCTCCTGAAAAGTCATCTCCTTTGGCAGCAGGGTGTACCTTCTGACAAAATAATTTTTACAGTACATGAGTAAACTGCTTTTTTTGTCTGAATGTTTTCTCTGACATGGAACTGCTGTCTGGTAAGTAAGCATTCACTAAACGATATATAATTTCCAATGGGGTCTGGCACGTTAATGTGTCCTTTCACTGACGTAGATATGTTCCTGTTCATAATACCCTTCTTTGCCAGGGATTTCTTATCTGCTTACTTCCGGGACATTTTGGTTTCTTTCTCAAATATATTGTGCTTTTCCCAGAACTGCAAGTGGTTTGAGGACAAAATGACTATAAAGTGTTGTAGGTAATGGGGACTTTTGTTTAGCAATTTTGAGGCATTTGTTGCACTGCGATTACATGTACTTTGTATGACTATTAGTGTGTATTCACCTTACATGACCCCTGTCATTGTAGGTAACTAATACTATTTCTCCTTAGTCTACCCTTGGGTTTCTTGGTTAGTAGGATCTATATATGTTTGTTAGCTGCAATCAGCATCTAAAAATAATAGCTTTTCCTACAAAAATATATAAACCTGGTGGAGATAAACCTAAATAACACGGAACATTTATTGATTTAAAAAAAAATTCAAATGGGGTTGTCGACTAAACACTAACGAAAATGACCGAATGCATCGCCGTAGCTATTTGTTTCTTCACAGCCTCACGCGGCCTTCGCATGGGGAAAGTTGTAGGCGGAGCAGTTGACCTACTTTTGACCAATAATATCATAGAGAAGGCAGAGAACGACCTACTTAGAACCAATCACTGCGAGGCTTGCATTTCAGTGGGCAGCACCCACGCGTGGTAGGTCCATGTGCGCTGCAGCAGCTGGTCTAAAGGTAACAGCGGTTGCTAATTGTGTCGGGAATACTGCCGGATCTTTTATTACGTTTTAGGCATTTTAAATGTGAATGTATACCGAACATACATGATTTATTACGATCTTACGTCTGCTACTATACGAATTACACATGCATACATTTTGTAATAAAGTGCAGCACTTATTTAAAAAAATACGTGTCTACGATTCGACAATAAACAATAATGTAGATGCAGATGATTACTAATTTGTATGGATATATAAAATATATGGTGTATATAATATACAAATTAGCATTTATTAAGTACTGTATGTGGTACACATAGCTTCACCACTATATTTATGCTTGCCAGCATGTTTCAACCACGTGTATAGGTACCGAAGGCAGCATCAGAATCAAAGCAGTAAGTAGTGGGTTAATTAATTGGGCAAGGCCGAAAGGAAATTAGCATTTTATTCGTTATACCATTGGCTGGATACCACGGAGTGGCGTGTACTTGTGGCTCGTGGGGCGGGGCGTGTAGGGGTGTGCTTTTCATGAATAATGATTGACGCCGCCCCCCAGCGCCGTTCCCCCGTGAGAGATGATGTCACGAGTGTGGCTCGTGTTCGTTCCAGCTGACTCCAGCCGCTGCTCGAGCAGCCTGCATGCAGAAAGGCGTTGGAGAAAGAGTGAGTGTGTGAGGGAGGGAGAGAGAGAGAGAGAGAGAATGAAAAAATAACGAGTGAAAGAGTGAGGGAGAACGAGAAAGCCATAAATCGCTCGCATTGCCATTTATTTTTACATTTTATATTTGAACGGAAACTCAGAGCTATAAAAGGACAGACTCGACTCTATAGTTTTGTTGTCGATTAACAGGATTTTGCATAGCTTAAAGTTATCATTATCAGGTTAGTTTTTGGTGCATTTACACAACGCTGTTCAGGCTCTGTCAGTCTCACGGTTTGTTTATTCTTTTTAACACTCCATGGACGCCTGTCATTATCAAACAATTTTATTTTTGGAAGACTGTTTTTGTCGCGAAGAAAATAAGCTACATTTAAATAGAAACAATAAATAAATCAGTTATTTTGGGGGAGGCGAACTCGAACAATACGGAAGAAAATCAAGCAGGAGCAATTTTAAACAACTTTGTTTACACCCGAAAGTGTGCGTGTGAGTTTGCATATCAGGAAGACGTGAGAAAATACAAAATAATATTTATATCTAGATTTTTTCAACCTGAAATCGATTTTCCTTTGCGATTGGAGCGCTTTAACATTTCTGCGCCGTTTAGATTTTGATTGACCAAATAAAAGCAATACATTTATATGCATCCAGCGTTCTTTGACGCTGCATCCGAACCCAGAGAAGATCATTTTATTGTAAGCATTTGGTGTATTAATTGCACCACGGGTAATACGTAATATTATTCCATATTTGATAAACTGCCTGTCACATATGTGCACTGGGGGCTTGAGCCATAGCGTACCAGCAATACATTTTAGAGTTTATTTGCATATTATATATACATTAATTATATTAATAGGTCGATAATCGAACGATCTGAAGGCAGTTGGTTTGGATAAGTGAACTCCCTCCTTCTTCAGCTCGGTTCAGCTCATCAGGAATCAGAAGCCGTCTAATGATGTCTAGGCCACTGTCTCAGATTCTTCCCCCTGACCTCCCTGCTGGAGCCAGCCCGCAATTCGGGAGTGGCAGCCAGGCGGGTGGTGCTCCGGGCGGGGGACACCTGAGCTCCATGGCCAGCCTGAAGTCCCTTCTGCAGCTCCCAATCAAAGCAGACCAGCGCGGGAAGGATTGCTGCGAAATGAAAGGTGGGTTCGTGCGAAATCAATGTGCATTTTTGTCGATGCGATTTATTCTTCCATTTTTTCCTGTATACTATCAAATAAGTTATTTAGTTATGATCTCCCCTTGCATTCGCTTTTTTTTCTCGAGCGGAGAACCGAAAGCGAGACACCGCTTCTTTGGTCGCCATTACCATTCTGGTATGCCAGTCTTTAAAGTGCCAAATTCTAAGTTATGCTTAGCTGAAATGAGAAGATTCACAAGCACGCCGTGCTTTCCTCGTCTCACGAAATAGAGGGAAATAATATAAAGCCATTTTACAAGATTTAAGATTGTGGAATGTGGAGGAAAAAGTCTGCAATGAATATTATTTCAAGATTACCATTATAGCGCCCCCTGGTGTTGCATGCTTAAAGCTGAGCGCCTTTCCCATGGTCGTCATTAAGTGCGTTGACCACTACTGTGACCACAACTGAGTTGGATCACAAAAGGTCAACTTACATCATCCTTATTGTATTGCTTTAATTAAAACGGAAGAATATGGATTTCCCTCCTTCACTGAACTTCATTTGTGTTGAAGTTAGTGAATTTCTGTCTTGTTGCAATGCAATAGTAGATGATATTTCTAATGTTAGGTGCTCTCCTGTAAAGGCAAAACATTTCCATTGGACAGTCAGCAGAACACACCAGATACTTGTATAGAAAATGCCACATTGTTAGGGTTTATTAATTTTCCTACTCAAATCTGAAGGAGATTAGTGGTACCGACTTAGTATGTGTTTGCCCCCCCAGACAAAGAGAAGCCCCTGGCCTCGGACGAGGACTCGCTGGGTGGAGCCGGCGGTGGCAGCGGCTGCACCCTGAGGCCCACTTCACAGTCAGCCTTCCTGGGTCCCCTGTTGTGGGAGCGTACCCTGCCCTGTGATGGGGGCCTCTTCCAGCTGCAGTACATGGACTTGGAGGAGTTCCTCACCGAGAACGGCATGGGCTGCATGCACAGTAGCAGCTCCAGCTCTGCCCAGATCCCCTCCCAGAGCTCCCAATCTGCTGTCCCTAGCCAGAGCTCCCAGTGCCCCCCATCCTCCCCGCCACCCTGCTCCTCATCCTCCTCCAGTTCCTCATCCTCCTCTTCCTCTTCTCTGCTGGGCCTGGAGGTGCCGCAGGCTACACAGGGGCTCCTGGGCACGCCAGAAGCCTTGCGTGGTGAGTTTGCCCTGGGCAGCCATCACGGGCGTGGTGGCAAAGCGCGACACACCTGAAGGGTGGTAGCAGCAGTGACTGAGGCATGGTAAACTGGGGGGAGAACAGATGGAGAAAGAAAGAGAACAGAGAAGGGATTTTGAGAGAGATGGTAGAATTTAGCTGGGAATGTATTTTACATGGAAGAGATGTGCATTGCTGTATGTAATATTAATTAAAATCAAATCCTGGGGGGGCATCTGTGATACAGTGTTTGTGGTTCCGTGGTTAACAGGTTTTTGATGTGGAGGATGGGGTCACTGTTATTTTCTTGTATTCTAAGTCAGACATGCACATGTGGATGGACATTTCAAGATGTGAAGAATGACCAGTGCATAGAGCATTTCATCGACACTGAGGCTGCTGTTTTTAATCTGCATTAAATTTGGTGGAGTGCGGCGGTTGGGGTGCAGGGGGTTCGTACAGTAGATTCACATGTGGTGCAGTGAGGGGCCTGACTGCCAGAGAGTGGCAGGAGCTGGAGGAATGTGACACACCATGCGTGTATAAATGTATAAATTAACAAGAGAGATAAAAAGAACAGGAGGTGGTTGGTAAGAGGTCTCGGCTCTGTGTTGTACTGTAGCTCAAGGAAAGCGAGTGGGGAGAGTGTGTATACTGCGCCTGTGTGCATGGTGCGCGTGCGTACCCGTGTGTCTCTCTCCCTTTCTTCTGCTCTCTCTCATACGCTTGGTCCATGTGCAGGCAGCTGGTCACGTGCTAATGCAGAAAGCAATGGAGCGAGAGTGTGGAGAAAGAGAGGGAGGGGGCCAGGGAGGGAAGGAGGGAGGGGTGGAAAAAAAATGGAAATAGCGAGCAAAGGGGAGCAGGGGCATTACAGGGTACTGAAATCTAAGGATGACTGGATCCTGTTGGAGGTGCACTTCAGCTCAGCCCTGGTCTGATGTGGGGGGGGGGGGGCAGGGTGGGAGAATAACCCTTTTCTTGGAGTACAGCAGAGAAGGGAAGAGGAAGGGTTGGACACGGGACTCTGTCCTGTGGTTACAATACAAAGGAAGGGGACCTATATTGTTAAAATGGGCTGGGTTCAGGGCAAAGGTTATGTAAGTAGATACCTATAGGATGTTATGTTAATGTTATATTACAGAGATGCTGGCTGTAGGTTTGCTAATTTATCCCAAGCGTCTCCCCCTGGTGGTCTCACTGTCACGCTCATAATTAACATGCAAGCCACAGAGCTTCTGCTGACTAGGTCTTGCATTTAGTGACCCTCGTTTTGTGAATATATGGATGCAGAGTTGTATGTAAAGTCCTTGCAATGTGAGAATCCCTCAGTGTAAAGATAAGGCTGTAATCTGTGGGAAAAGCTTCTTATGGACAGAACAGTAATTACTGTTTGCCAAGAGATTGCTGACAGCTTCCCTGCATATTAATATTTCAGGCAAATTTTTGAGGCCATCTCTCAGTGACAATGTTCATTCTAGCACAATAAAAAAGAAACATATTTGTAAATTTACCTCTTCATGCACTTTTTACATTTGAAAGAACAACTGATGAATCATAAGAAATGAGAAGTAGGATAAACAGGATTTAAGTGTTTGTTTTGGATCCAGCCAAACTGACCAAGGATCAGTATCAGGCAAGGGCTCTGCTTTATGAGCTTTGGCTCGTAGCTCAGCATTGCTGCCGCCTAGCGGTTGCTTTCTGCTAAAGCCTACACAAACTGACTGTAGATATAACCACTTTCTAGATCCTTGCGCTGGGCACATGGTGCTGATTCGTTTGCATTTGTCTCTCTCCTGCAGGTGGCCAGGCAGCCCCTCCTAACCCTTCAGCTTCATCGTCCTGCCCACCGCCCCCTGTGCCCCCTTCCACCAATGCTGCGGATGTAATGGTGAACTTTGATCCAGACCCTGCGGATTTGGCATTGTCAAGTGTGCCGGGCCAGGAGGCCTTCGATCCACGGAGACACCGCTTCACAGAGGAAGAACTCAAGCCACAGCCCATGATCAAGAAAGCCCGTAAGATGCTGGTGCCGGAGGAGCAGAAGGTATGGCAACTGCACAGGGCTGACTCAGCTGGGTCACCAATGAACAGTGAGCCATTTCTGCTGCCCAATGTCAATCTTCACCCAGCTGGGATGGATGTCAGTGAGCCCATATTAGCATGATGATGCAAGACAGGACATGTTCTGTCCTGCTTATAGCTGCATTATATCAAATTGATGCTGCTTTGCATTTATTTAGCAGATGTAATGTACCAGTGAGGAAAGTTGGGGGGTCAGAGAGCAGGGTCAGCTAGCATCCCTGGAGTCACTGTGGTTAAAGGCCTTCTTCAAAGGCTCAACAGTGATATGATTAATCTGACAGCTACGGGATTTGAACCTATGACCTTTCAGCTCTGGGCACAGAGGCCTAACACTGCCCTGTTTTTCCCAATTATGCTACTGATTGCCATTATGGAATATATGTAACTTTCATTTATTAGGTCTTCTTATCATCCTGAACATAAAATAATACCTCGACTTACCTAGGAATGGAAAAAGCACTTTATATAGTTTGAGTTCTCAAAATTGCTACTTAATACAAAACACAATGTTAGTTGACTAGCTTGGTGGTGCATAAATGGACAGTCTCAGCTGGAGCAGCGATCTGGGCTGCAGTCCACATTAACCCCCTTCTGCACCTTCCCCCATCTACAGGACGACAAATACTGGAGTCGGCGGTACAAGAACAACGAAGCAGCAAAGCGGTCGCGGGACGCACGCAGGCTGAAGGAGAATCAGATCTCGGTGCGGGCGGCCTTTCTGGAGCGGGAGAACGCGGCGCTGCGGCAGGAGGTGGCTGACATGCGCAAGGAGTTGGGCCGCTGCCGCAACATCCTTAACAAGTACGAGAGCCGGCACGGGGACCTGTGAACTGCAGTGTTGCCAGGGGGCCAGCGACTGGGGGCCGAGCCACCCTCCTCTTTTCTATCGCAGACCTTGTGTCTGTTTTTTTTTCCAGTGGGGGAACGCCATGTGAACAGATGGAGGGCGGTGGTGGGAGATGTGTGAAAGGCAAAGATGGTTGGGCAGGCATTTTACAGAGAGTGTGAGAGCATTTTGACATAGGAAAACTGTGTATTTTTATATCTGCAAAGAGAGAAATTTGAGAGGAGCCTTTGGAAATAATTTTGTATATTTTATATATGGGGAGGGATTGGGGCAAAGAGAGAGCAACTATACGATGTTTTAAAACCGATTTTTGTCAAATGATATATTTTAAATAATGAACAGCTGGATGACACTTTGAAAAGCGAGGACAGGAAAAAATGAAACTTTTGGGCTTAGATGGAAGAATGTAAAGTGGATGACCGGTGAGAAAAGAAGTATACTTGAGTTAATCTGAAAAACAAAATTAAAATGGTCAATTTTAATTTTGTTGTGGGTTCAGTCAAGCACTTAATTTGTTATCCTTTTTATTATTTTCTTGGAATAAATCTATGTTTGTCTATTGATAAGGTATTGGGAGAGACAAGTATACTTTAAACACTAATCCCTACAAAAAAACTATATATGCAAAGATATATGTTTGTACGTACTCAGAGAGTATTGTCATGTACATATTAAAATGGTTGACTATGTATTGATTTATATACACAAACACACAACACAAACACCTCACGCTTACACACACATGTCTGTACAAAGGCCACTGAGAGCACGCTCCTCACCATGACCTTGTATGGATAGGGTGGAAGTAAATGTGTTTTTTTTTTTTTTTTTTTAAACTTTGTTCATTACTTGTTCTCTCTCTGTTCAGTGTGTGAAGTGAGTGAAACTGGTTTAGAATTTCTCACCCAGGTTAAGTTGGCAGTGAGCAAGATGCCTGTTAACTTGGTGCCACCAAGTGTGTGTTATGTGCCAGTGTGAGTATCATCTTCACTGCTCATCTTGGCCCCCCCAAAACCGAACATTTTCTACAAAACCTGCCTGTTTTTTAAGAACCAATTTTTTCCTACCACACCCGATATAGTATGTTTATGACTGTTTTAACCTAATGATTTTCCCAGTAATGCACCACAATGCTAATGTAATGTATATATATTTAAGAATTATTGAATATGAAAATATATGCTTTCATATATTTTCTTGGACATGTGAACGTTGAAGACACATGCACGCATATGTAAGAGGTGTAGTTCACTACCAACTCACCTTGGGAGGAAGATTCTAGTAAAACCCAGTGTAGAACAGTGCTGAGTTTCAGAGCTCTTTGTTAAATTAGCTATAAGCATTAAATATGATTTTCAAAATTTATTGTTACTATCTTAATTATGATTGCTATTGTTGTTGATGATGTTGTTATTACTCTTACATTCTTACTTTTTTTTTTTTTTTAAAGCATTTCTTGCAATGGTTCTCAGAAGGAATGCATTTTTATCTTCTGTTTTAAATCCCTTGTATTTCAAGATCATTTTTCTGGCTATGCTGTCTTTGGTTGTGTTCCCCTGTCTGCACCAACACTGAGATGGTGCTGAACCCTAGAGTGTATTGCTGTAGTCATGTCCTTGTATTTGAAACTGATTATAACAAAACAATGGACTTTCCTGCTGAGCGGATTTGAACCTCGCAGCCTGTACATTGTCAGCTGCAGTGACCAGGTGCTGTTTACACTCTATGGGACTCTTGGATCAATATTGTGATACTTGGGTCCATTTGTAGATTCCCATAAACACTTTACAGTACTATTTGTTATGTACATGTGTTAGCATGCTACAGTGTTCGTGGGCATTGAATGCTGAGGGGTTTGCTGCAGTACAAGCAGGGTTTCGCACAATGTCCTTATATTTCTCCCTATTGAAGTGGATTATAAATACATATTTCATCTGTATCTGAAGTAGTTCGCTACAGCGCTGCTCATTTTGGGTTTGTACACAATTAGCTTGCATTGCACTGTGTGGTAAACACAGAAGTCCAGACTTCTTTTGGCATTTTCCGAATAGTCCTCCATGTTACCCATTGTCACTAGTGGCCAGAATGGAGCTGTGTGAAACATGTGACGCGATATGATTTCCTTATTTGTGGATAAAAGGATTACTGCAAACAAGTGTCACTGACAAAATGTTACAGTGTAGAACTTGTGCCAGGCAATTGACCAGAATGTGCCTCTGTCAGTCATACCTCTAGGTACATGACTATACATGCTGACATCGAACACAAATGTTATCCAATGCTTATAGAAGACTGAATTAAATGACAGTTCAAAACCAGTACCAAAGATCCTGGTACATTATTATTGGGTCTGGTTTGCCCATGAAATTTGTGATTGCTAATATAATTATTTTGACTGCACCCTGATTTTTCCCAGTCTTATCAGATGCTGCAAACAATGAGGAATGCAATGACAGGCAGGGAAATTTAGCATCTTTCCACCAGGCAGGGTTTACCCCACAGCTGCTTGTAGAACACTTAAATGCAGAAGACACTGCAGCCTTCATGAAGTATGGGAGCTGCAAATGTATCAGATTTCCCATTAGAATTGCAGAATGCTTAATAACCTTCTTGGTGTTAATGTTACGGTGCACTTTTCAATATGCGGTGAGAAACCCCATCAGACGGTTCGAGCTGATGTCGGGGAATCGCAAATAGGATGGATATTTGTGGAGTTGCCCTTTTGTAAGGAGGACTGCTTTCTGTTCATGGCCTGCCATCTGGAGGCAGTTTTTGGTACCCAGGCGAATGGCAGCATTAGCCAAATGCTACTTACACATGCAGTGCATGAGATTAATTTCACTTAGAAAAGCAGTGCACATACTGTACTGAAAGTGAGTATTAGGCACGACTGTGGATGAAAATTTCTCTAGGGTTGCTATGGTGACAAAACCTGTGGAGTGTAGTACTCACAGCTGTAGTCATAACAGAATGACTAAATTCAGCCTCTGGCTGCTCTGCCCATGAGTGTCAGTTCATACTGACAGTCCAGTGAAAGGAAAGAGTTACTGTATATATTTTCACAGTTTTGTTACTGGCTTAGAATAACAGGCAAGCAGCAATTTGACTAATGTGCCAGTTTCTGACCATTAGAAAAACTCATGAAGACACTGTCAATCTCAGCAGTGGCTTATGAAGTAGTAGATTAGTCCTCTGTAAAAGGTAATCTTATACAGAAAGTTGTTCTCTGATTATGAAATTCAAATAGCATAGATTAATAAGCATTTTTATCCATCCCAGAAAAACGCAGGTGCAGAGATAAATTCATTCATCAGGAAACGTATTTCAGCACGTTCAACTTCTGCTGCAGTATTGCCACAAGGCAGAAGCATATGTAATGATTTGCAGGAAAGTTCTGTGAAATTGGTGTGTGCAGAGTATGATGATCAGTATGGATTGTGAAGTGAGTGCCTATTCTGTTTATGTAGTATGTGTATGCTTAGCTAGTATGTTGGGAATGATAATGGTGGCTATGAGGGTGGTGCACTGGGTCAGTGGTTCTCAAACTGGGGGGCGCACCCCTAAGGGGGCGCACCGATGGAATAGCCTCAGGGGCAAAAACATCTCTTCACAGACTGGACGATTAAACAAATAAAGCAGCGCAACATTACAGTAACTAACAATATATAAACCACTACCTTACGTGTACTATTAGAGCATTTATGTAATTTATTTAAACTTTTATTTTACCAGGTAAATTAACTGAAAACCAGTTCTCACTGCTTTACGTGATATTCAGGAGAAATAGCAGATAACGCATCGAAACTGGGATACAAACGTCATACAAGGTCACGTTCTTCAGCCAATAAGGGCAAAGTTGTGTCGTCACGGAGGCAGTTCCAGTTTGTTCAGCCGGCTGAGAGGTGCTGTACGATCTTATGTTGTCTTGCTCTTGCAAGGTTTTTGTACCATGTGACATGGTGACGCGTGACAACGTTTTGCAGCGCCGGACAAAAAAAATCTAACCATATCATGAAAAACGAGGTTTAAAATTTTCTACATGAAGTGCAGGGAGACTATCAATTAATGGGTATGATTTAGTACTGTTTTGTGCTATAGTATAGGCTGAAACCTGCGGTTATCATTAAAAACAAAATGCGGTAAATGTAAGACAAACTTTACTTTGTGTACGCCAATGAATATTAACAGGAACGTTAAATCTGCATTTGCATAATTTCAAACTTATGCTGGACTTTTATTTTTAATTGATTGCTCTTTTTTCACCCACAGTGGTGAAATTGCACCATTTGTATTTTGTAATTGCATTTGTTTCGCTCAATTAGAAAAGGGAGTTGTATTTCAAATTAAGTTTGAATCTGAACCTATGTAGTTTGAATGGGGGGAGCTCAATAATGTTCCTATCTAGAAAAGGGGGGCCCTGCAGAGAAAGTTTGAGAACCACTGCACTGGGTAATGCTGCTGCCTCACACCTCCAGGACTGGAGATGAGAGTCCTGCCTCCACTCTGTGTGCAGTTTGCGTTTTTTCTCCTGGTCAGGCAGGGTTCACCCTCCCACAACCCAAAGACATGCAGTCAGGTGAACTGGTGTCTCTGAGTTGTATGTATCCCTGTCATGTGCCCTATGCTGCAGGCCCCTCTGCATCGCTGGGCAGGATTTGCAGGTGAAATATTGAAGGATAATTGTCACTATATTTTCCTGTGTGTATTGTGTAAAAAAGACACATTTTTTTAAAGGCAACAGGAGCTGATACCAGCTTATATGAAATCTAAAAGACCATTTTAAGTTTTTAAATTGGCTGCATCAAAACTATACAGTTGAAGCAGAGCCTGGTACTGACTAAATCATTTAAAAAAAAAAAAAAAGCTTTCACAGCTGTGTAGTCTGTTGCATAAACCTTCAATTTGTGGAGTTGATTAGAAGTAATTTCCTGACACCTGCTCTGTCAGGCAAGTCCAAACACATATGAACGAGAAGCACGATCCTTCTGTGATGAGAAGAAACACAGAGGGATGCAGAAATCATGTCACTGACACCTGATTCCACAGGGATGGCACTTTTCTACACAATTTAAAAAGAAACGAAAAAGTTTGTTTCTCCAGCAGTGATGAAACATGCAGAACTAATAGTGGCAGCAGATAGAACAGCGGTTAAGAACATTAGTCAGCTGAAATACCAGGAAAATTGTTCTTGTACCATTGAGTAGGCTTCTAGACCTATACAGCTGTAAAATCAATTGCAGATGGCTAAATTTAAAATGTGATGTATCAAGAAAGCAACGAAGAAATTGAGCTGGGAGTGCATGGTGTGGCATTCCAAAGTGCACGCTACAGTATAATCTTTAAATACTATCGTATCCTCAGAATTCAAAGCAGGTAACTTCTCTGTAGAATAGTAAGTGGCGACAGGGTGACCTACCTGAGCATGGTTCTCATGTTTAGTCTCAATGGTGGGTAGGTGACCTGCCGAACTGCATCTGTGTTTCTCGCAGTCTCTCTGTGTCACTCTGCCTGTATTCATGAATCAGTGTGATGTTGCAAAGTGGGAAATGTTTTAACAGTTTACTAGTGCTTGATGGTACATTTTTACTGTGGTGATAACATCCTTTTACTTTTGCTGTCCACACTAATCATCCATGAATTTTCCAAACACTAATAAGGGGTCCTGAGGACGGGGCCTGGAGTTTTCCCTAGGCAGCAGCCTAGGTTGGATGGTGAGTAAAAACACATTGTAGGAGTACATGCAAACTTGATACATAGAACAGATTATTCCCTTTTTTTCCAAACTTGGAGATGCAAATGTTATACTTTTTTGTAACAGAAATTTGGATTCTGCACATCTAGGTGGGCAGAAGTGTTTATTTCACCTAATAGGGGGTAGTGTGTGGCTCTGTGGATTAGGACTCAGTACCTGTGATTGGAAGATCATTGGTGCAAATCCAAGCCAGCAGTTGCTCTAAGGAGTGCTTACTCTATTGTATGCCGCTTAGGACAAAAGTAAGTTCTTATTGTGAACACACTCTGCAGTATACACTTTGTTTTATAACTTGCCTCTGAAGTATTAAATTATCTTCATTTTGCTCAAAATCCAAATCTGGGATCTAGATGTGTATTTCATAACGTATTTGATGGTGTACACTAGGGGTGTAACGGTACACAAACAGTTCGGTATGTACCTCAGTTTTAAGTCACGGTTTGGTACGTTTTCAGTACAGCTGAAGTAAACAAAAACAAAACATAAACTGCATCTTTTTTTTCTTTATTAAACAGTGGTTTACTGAACAAAGTATGACTGTCTTTCTTAAATAAAAAGTCTCTGTCAGTACTGTTGCAACCTACTAATAAAAAACTAAAATTCACTTAAAAGTAAATCAAAATAAATATTCTCTCAAGTACATAAAAATAAAATAAATATCCATTAAGGTGCTCATTTAAAAAATTAACTGTACCTGATCTGCACTCTATGCACATTTGAAGCTTTCAGCTTCATGTGCAACAAATATTGTCTCAAAAAATAAAAAAACATAAAATAAATATGCATTATAGAGCAGCATTTACAAAACATCTCTTCTGTACTTGTATTCATGTTAACTTCCTGCTTCACATTAGGACACGTGCGTAGTAGTGCGGCTTCATCCGTTCCTTTCCAAATATTGCTTGGGGGAAACAAACAAATACACAATGGTTCCGCATATGCGTAATGAACTGAAAGACCCCTACCGAAAAATTTTGGTACAAATACATGTACCTGTATCTCAGTTTGACCATTGTTCCCAGTTTGAGCAAAGAACATTGT